TGCGGCAGCGTCGACGCGAGGACTCCAGGCCTCCCAGGTGGGGTCCGAGAAAATGTAGTTGGAGGATGGGGCCGCATCACCGATGCATCGACGATGCGGCTCGATGTGGGGCCCGATGTTCCCCACGCCGACGTCGCAGATGCATCGCCGATGCATCGCCGATGCATCGGCGATGCAGTGGCGATGAGGCGTGTTCCGTCGACCCCATCTACTCGGACCCCATCTAGGAGGTCTCTAAGAACAGGTAGGGCGTTTTTAGAGAGGGCCTCGAGTCTCATGCTGCGCGTGCTCAAGAGCCACATCCCCGAACTCATTTCGAGCACCCGGACAAGTATCGAAACAGTGCCTGCCCGACACGCTAGCGAAATGTCGAACGAGTATCGCCCCCAGGGGCCCGACACGTGAAAACCCCATCCAGTTTCGGCCACCTCTTTGGTGCTCGAAATCCCTTCTGGTGATCAAGGCTAAATGAAATAAGTTGGAGCATCACAACTCGGCTCTCTGGTGGCCTTTCGGGGCGATACGGGCACCCCTGGAACGCCCTCGGCGAGGCGCAGCTGCTGGAGCGCATGCAGAGGTCGGCAAGACGCCGAGAAGCGACGAAACCGCCCGAGAAGCTTGAACGGCTCACTCCTCCCCCATGCTCGGGGAGTGCGACGTCTCGCTCGTCGGGCAGCGGGCAGAGGCCGAGCGAAGGTATGAGTCTGGTCGCCGGAGGCCCGGCAGGATCTCTGGGCACGGGCCACAGCGGGGGCGGAAGGCCATGACCCCGCGGAGAGCGGGCAGCGCAGGTGCACCCAGGGTGTTCCTCTTCCTCCTCCTCCTCCTCCTCCTCCTCCTCCTCCTCCTCCGTTGCCATTTTGGCTCAAGATCGGGACAGGCCCGTTTTGAGTGTGGCAGCCCTTCTTCCAGGGCCACCCAGCTGTCAAAGGCTGGCGGACACCCCCACATCCAGTGCGTCTCATGGCTGATGCAGTCCCTGCCGCGCCTGCGAATACCCAGGAGCGCCAGATGCTTGCAGAGCTTGACGAGATGCCCACCTTCCCCGACGGCGAGCGCTCGGGCAAAGGCCAGGGAACGGGCCGCTTCACCCAGCGCAAGCGCCAGGCCCTCGCTTCGTCTTGTGTCGGTGCTCCTGTTCCTTCTCCTCACGATGATGACGATGATGATGGTGACTTTCTTCGGCAACTGTGCAGAGAGGAGTTTGCCTCAATGCGAGACACCATCACCACCGAGGTGTCAGAGTCGGTCGCCAAGACCATCACCTCCAATCACAACACGTTGCTCAAGATGCTGTCGTCCATGCAGGGCGAGGTGGCAAAACAATCCAGTGCCATCGAGAGCCAGGTTCAATCGGCAATCGCCCCCAGGCTCGACTCGCTCAACAGACGCCTCCAAGCCCAGCTCGACGAGCAGAAGCGCAGCATCGACGCGCTGGAGGGCAGAGCTGACGAGCATGACAAGTCCATCCAGGATCTTCAAGACCAGCTGGCGGAGCTACGTCGCCAGATGGCCATCGCTGAACAGACTCCCAGGAAGCAGCTGGCTGCTCCCACCTCCTTCGACCGCGAGGAGGACACCACGATCGTTGTTGCCGTCTCACAGCGACCGACTACCTTGGCGTCAGTGGTCTCATCGCTACGCCCGTGGCTCGGCGAGATTGGCTTTGATGATGAACAGTATGAAATCAAGCAGAAAGGCGAGTCCCCGGCCAGGAGGTTCGAGATCTGCTTCTCGGGCTCGGCCACCATCGCCTCGCGCCGTGCCAGCAAGGCCACCTCGCTCCTCAAGGGACCCGATGGCTGGAAAGAGTTCTGGGTCGACCCTCCAGGCGCCGAGCGCTGCCGTTTGCACCTGGGCCCCGACAAGTCACCCAAGCGTATCAAGACCGAGGTCACCCTGCGCAAGGCCAGGGCGATCATCGAGCTGCAGTACCCAGGCAAGCGATTCTACTCCGACCGCGAGCATGGCGTCCTCACCATTGGGTGGGACAAGATCATGCACGTCAATGTCTTCCATGGCGACACCCCGCCCAAGATCTACTGGGACTCTGCGCAGCTTGCCAAGCACGCCATGGCTATCGACACGCTTCGCAATGCTGTCAAGGAGCTCACGCATCCGTCCGACCCCAGCCAGTGGTGTCTTTAGCGCTGCTGGACTATTTCATCTTCCTCCCCCGCCGCCTGGGTCAGCGGCGCCTACGTTTCGGATCGCTACTTGGAATTATCGGGCTCTTCTTCAGGCTGGCGGGGATAAGGCCATTCTGAAGAGAAAGTATGTTCTCAGTCTCCGTCCCCTATCCACGGTCATCGCGCTGCAGGAGGTGCACCAGGACCACTTCCAGCTCGACTCGTTCTTCCGATCGATTGCGTCGGGCCTCACGATCCACTCCAGCTTCATCTCTGACGCAGATGACGGGCATCGGCGGGGTGGGGTTGCTGTGGTGCTTCCGCCGTTGGCTTGTCAGGGCCTCTCCGCTCCGTCGTCATCATCCACTGTCCTGGTTCCTGGCCGAGTGATGCTAGTCCGTGTTTGGGATGACTGCCGCACGCTCGACATATTCAACATTCATAATCATGGTCTGTCCGCCCAGCAAGTTCGTGAAGTGGCTGCTGCGATACGAGTATCGCAACGTGCTGCCGCCCTCGACCCCGACATCTACACCACCTTTGTCCTCGGGGACTTCAATTTTGCCACGCACGAGGCTCTCGCGCTCGCTGCCCCCGCGGCGGCCGTGCGCATGCTGTCGAAGTGCCACCGCGTGCAGGCGCCCAAGTGGCGCCAGGCCCTCGCCCTCCTGACCGAGATTGCGTGCGAGGACCCCACGCACTACGAGAAGTTCAACGACTCGTGCGCGACGATCGACCGCGTCTTCTGCTCGATCACGGGCTGGCAGCTCTGCCAGCTGTTTGTCCAGATTGGCACGCTTGGCTCGCCGGCGGCTGTCTTTGACAAAAAGATCTCTGACCATGCTGCCGTTGTTCTCTCGCTTGCCTGCCGCCCGCCTCGCCCAGTGGAGTCCCGCCCCATTCCCAAACACCTGTTCTCGGAGCCTGGTTTCAAGCGGCGCCTGGAGGGGCTGTGCTCCTGCATCCCGTGGGACTCCGTGTCGCCCCCGTTCAAGGTTGAAAAGTACAAGGAGCTTTTGAAGATTTCGGCCGCGGAGACCAGGGACGCCCTCTTTCGGGACAGGCCACATCACCCGCACACCTGCCTCCTGCTCGCTCGTGCTCTCGCCCGTGTGGTTTGGAGGCAAGACCTGCGTATGGCTTCCAGGCTCCAGGACTCCCACCCCCTGGCCATTGACATGATATCGATTACCGACGGGAAGGTCGAGATCCGCCACCCGCCGTCCTTCCAGGCTTGGGTCGACCAGGTCCAGACTGAGGCTGCTGAGTCAGCGAAGGCTGAACTTGAAGATCGCAGACGGCGTGAAGGTGACCGCGTCCAGATTCGTGCCCAAGTCCGCGCACTTGAACGGCGCGCTCGTCTCTGGTCCCCTCTCAACCGAAGGATATCGCTCTCAGCGGTTATTGCGCCTGATGGCTCTGCGGTCAGCGTTCCATCTGATCGACTGCGGGTACTCTCGGAGCACTGGGCCCCTGTCTTCCAGAAAAAGCCGTGGGACGCCGCTGCTGCTGCTCCCTACCTACGCCGCCTTGCCCCTGACCTTCCTGCCGACCTACACCTCCCCTCGCCGTCGAAAAATATGCTACGGCGTGCGATTCGATCAGCCCAACACTCTGCCCCTGGGCCTGATGCTCTCCCGTATGCTGCGTGGGCGGCGCCCTCGTGGGGGGCTGACATATTATGGGACGCTCTTGGCTGGGTTCTCAGGGGCCAGGAGCTGTTTGCGAATACTAGTGACACGATCCAGATTTTTCTGCCCAAAAACGTCACGGACTTGGAGCTCCGCGATGCCAGCTGCTCCCGCTCCCCAGACAAGGTTCGGGTCTTGGGCCTCAGGAACTGTGACCTGAAGCTCATCTCATCCACTGTCAATCGAGCGATCCGACCCGCCCTGGTATCTCTCGCCCCGCCGTGCCAGCGTGGATTCATTCCGGGTAGGAATTTCGGCAACAACATCCTCGAGCTCGACGTGTCGAGCCGTCAGATGTCGGTCGTGCCTCGCGGGTCTACCGATATCCCTGTGCTGTATTCCTTGGACTTCGGCCAGGCCTTCCCGTCCCTGAATCAGGACTTCCTCATTCTCTCCCTTAGGGCCCTCAAGCTGCCTGAGGCATTCGTGTCCTTCGTCACGTTCCTATATGCATCGGTGGAAGGGGTTGTCTCGCACCTAGGCTCGCTAGTGCACATCTTCTGGGTCCAGAGCGGCATCATCCAAGGTTGTGCCTTATCGGGCACTCTCTATGCGTTGAGTACGGCTGTCTTCTTGGTCGACCTGGCCTCTCGGGTGGAGGCCGCTGGCCTTGGCCTGGTTCGGGCCTGTGCTGACGACATTGGGGGCACGTTATTGGCCATGCGGCACCTAGTTCATGTATATCGGGTTATGAAGATGGCCTCGGACATGGCCAACCTCGCCTTGAAGGTCTCAAAATGCAAGATTGTCCCGCTGTCTGACAGGTTCTCGCCCAACCTCTCAGCCACAGTCTCCTACTGGGTCTCCCATCTGGTCCCCGAGTGGAGCTCGTTCGAGGTGGCTCCCAAGCTGCTCTACCTGGGCCTCTGGCTGGGGCCTGCTGTTGTTCCGTCCACTTCTTGGATTGATCCCGTCGCCAAATTGCGTCTCAGGGCCCAAGCCATCGGGCGGGGAACCACTCCCGCCAGCCTTTCCGCTACACTGTACAATACTCGGGCAGTCACGACCATATCTTACGTTGCCCAATTCTGCTGGCCGCCATCGTCAGTGTTGCAGCCTGAGTTGGCGACGCTCGCGCAGGTGTTCCGCATCCCGCTCGGCACCTTCGCCCTCGACTTCTGGGCGCAGATCGCTCAGTGGGGCGGCCCGCGCTGCACGCGGTGGGGGCACCTGGCCGTCGCCACCATCACGCGGGCTGCGCTGCACACGTTCCCTGGCTGGGAGAGGCTCCTCCAGCAGCTGCGGAACCACGCGAGCTCCGCCCCGTGCGATGCCACCCTGTCCATGCTGGCGACCGGCAAGCCGTGCCCGTCCTTCTGGTTGGCCCCCGCCTTTGTGGAGAACATGGAGCTGGCTGCCGCTGGCACCCCTCCTCCTGGCCCGCTGGCCGTCTTTGGGGCTCGTGCTGCCGACGCTGCGCTGGCTGAACTTCGTGAGAGCGGCCGTCCTCGACCTCGACCTCAGAGAGCGGCTCACGAAGCGCTGCGGGCCTTTGCGATGATGAACAAGCCTATCACGGACCTCTTCGTGCTGCGCCTGAGGAAGTTCGCTGGCAGGTCGGCCGGCCTCCTATCGAACATCGACTGGGGCGTGTGCAAGAGCGTCCTCGCCCGCTGCCCGTGCTCGTGGGCCATGGCTGTCCTGCGCACCTGGTCTGATGGCTGGATGACTTCGGCCCGTATCATCTCACCTGACGGGCAGAAGCATTGCGTATTTGGTTGTCTCGGCAAGCTCGACTCGTTGCGACACTACGCGAGATGCCCTGTCATGCACCGTGCCCTTCGACAGGCTCTCGCGAGACCGTTCCCGCTCCCGTGGATGACCAGATGGGGCCTATCTGAGCCCTCGCTGGCCACCTTCTCGGCGATGGCGGCCGCTTACAACATGTACAACGAAGCGAGGCTGGCGCCCGTGTGGCCCCTGTCCCCGCCCCTCCTCCGCAGCTGTGCTCTCGCTGGAGTACGTTCGATGCAGCTCGCGTCACCGCTGAAGTGCTCGGAGATCGACCGCGAGCAGCTCGGCCGACGGGACTACCTCATCCGCAGCTCTTCGTCATCTTCATCCTCGGGGTCGTCTCCACGGCTCACCCCTGCCGTTTCGTCGTCGGACAGCGACACGGCCACCGTCTCCACGGCCATCGCCACGATCCCGTCGGACTCCGACGCTGATGATGAACTTCAGCTTCCAGCGACGCCGCCAGCTACGTGCTCTCCCTCGGCTTCGGCGACCCCCCCCCCACCTTCCTCCGCGCCCCCGTCGATGACGCGCTCCCCATCAACTCTGAGAGCGGCCCCATCTCCATCAATGGCGTTGAGAACTTCACGGATGGCGTCCGCCTGCTCATCATTGTCGCCGCCGGCCCCAATTTCGCCCTGTGCCTGTGTGTCGCCGTCCCCGCCAGTGACGCTCTCGTCTACGGGCTCGCTTGCCTCGTCGCCTCCCATCGGCGTTAGATCGCAAGTCCCGTTGTCGTGTTCGGGCTCACTGTCGCCATGTGCTGGTTGCCTCGGGTCGCCCCAGCTGGGCCCAGGCGTTAGATCGCAAAACCCGTTGTCGTGGTCGGGCTACACGTCGCCACGTGCTCGCTGCCTCGAAGAGGAGCATCTCTCCAGTGGCGTTAGAATGCAAGTCCCGTTGTCGTGTTCGGGCTCGCCGTCGCCACAAGAACGTTGCCGTGATTCGGGACGCTGGTCCGTCGGCGTTAGATCGCAAGTCCCGTTGTCGTGTTCGGGCTCGCAGTCGCCACGTGTCGGACGAAATCCTGGGAATCTGGTGGCTGCTCGACGTTCGGCGCGATCCCCAACTCCGATTTCCACGCGCTCTCCGAAGACGCGCTCCCCGTCAGTGTCGCCGACAGCTCCGATGACGCTCCCACCGTTGCCCTCTGAGTGTGCTTCGGAAAATGAGCAGCCTGCTTTTTCTTTTCCCCCGCGCACGTCCGTCGCCCTTCCGATGGCCGCCCTGGCCACGCCTCTCCCTGCCGAGCCTTCCCCCGACCCCACCCCGTCGCTCTCCTGCAGCCCCGAGCCCTGCACCCAGGCTCCAGCTTCGCCCGTCGCCTCTCCTGGCGCCGTTTTCCTCGGCCCTCCCCCCTCCTGTCCTTCGCTCCTGAGCTCTGCCCATGCTGCTGCTTGCGCCTCCCCTGCTCCTCTCTCGCACCGTCATCACATCATGCCTTTCGTTCCGAGACATTGCTCTGCCCTCCCGAATTATAAAGCGGCTCCGCCGACCAACGTCGCGTCGCTGGGAGCGCAGCACATCAGCTTCAACACTCGAGGCGCGCCCTCGCCGCTTCCCGAGGCGCCCTAGCGGCCGCCTCTCTGCCAGACAGACATGGTACGCTGGGCTCCTCCTCCTCCTCCTCCTCCTCCTCTTCCTCCTCCTCCTCCTCCACCCCCTCCTCCAAGAGCCGGACCGAGGTGCAAGATCGGGGTCGGCTCGGGGAGGGTACCCTCGTGTTCGTCGTGTGTTTTGGATGTTCTTGTGCATCCTTGGGTGTGTGTGCCCTTGGACGTTCTGCCTGTCCTGGCCGACGGGGGGTATCGCACTCTTGAGGGACGTTCTTCTGGCCCAGGTCCGACTGCAGTGCCTCGAGTGCTCGGATCCGCCGTCCCGCCCGTCGCCGCCGTCTGCCTTGCTCCTCGCGCTGCTCTACCTCCGTTGGCCCCCCCACGCCTGGGCGTTTCTCGAACCTGCGTTAGGTCGGGCATGTTCACCTACAGGTGGATTTGGGGCGAAAAATTTGGAAATAGCCAAAACATTCCCCCAAATAGTCAAACATTTTGTTTCCATCGTCCCAGACTATGTTTTGACTATGTTTAAATCTTCTTCCTGTAGATGGACACGCCCGACTGAAAACCTGCCAGGACTTGCAGGGAGCATCCGCGGGCCTTCAGGGAGATGCCATAGCCTCCCGCTGCAGGCCTCCCCAGGGTCGGAAGGCCGCGCCGCATCGACAGTCGCATCGCCGATGCCGATGCGTCGGCGATGCGGCTCGATGTGGAGCACGATTTGCTCCAAGCCGACTGCGCCGATGCGTCGCCGACGTCGCCGATGCATCGGCGATGTGTCGGCGATTCGGTGCATTCATCCGAGCCCATCTGCTCAGTTTCCACGTGGGAGGTCACTGTCCACGGCTTCAGGGGCTACCAGGACTGCCTGGGGCTTCCCAAGTCCTCTGGGTGGCGTGCAGAGACCATCAGGGGCACCCAGGCCTTCCCGGAGGCTCGAGGGAGTCTCCAGGGACCCAAAGGGGCTTCCAGGAATGTGGAGGTGGAGGACAAGGAGGAGGTGGAGTGGGAGACTCTAAGCTTTGCATTCGCCCCGGATCCTGACCCCCAGGCTTCCCTGGAGGCTTCCGGAGGCTTAGCAATTATGCAAGCACGTCGAAGACGTTCCCAACACATCTGAACAACATCTCGCCCCATCTAAAAGACCTCAGAAGTGTTTGGGGAGTCGAAGGAGGAGGAAAAAGAGGAGGATGAGAAGGGGGAGGACAAGGAGGAGGGTGACGAGGAGGCGCGCGAGGTTGGGGGGCCCAACGCCCAAGAGCTCCAAGGTCCTTCGGGCGCGAGGCCTCCACACCAGGAGAGATCCAGCGGACGGCGACTCGAACGAGCATAAGTCGGGCCTGTCCCTCTACAGGAGGGATATTCAAAAATAGAAAAATCTAGTCTGGGGACGAATTTCTCGTTTTTTCTACCACGTGGAAGTATGTTTTGAGTAATATACATATATCGGCGCACCGGGTCCGGGGGCCCGGGGCCGGGACCCCGACCGCAAATGTGCACCCCGGGGGGCCCGGAGGCTCGTCGGGGCTTGCCGGGGGCCTCCCCAGTCAGACAAGACGGCCCAAGAAGCGCCCAAGACGGCCCAAGAAACTTCCAAGAGGCCTCCAAGAGGGCTCCGAGATGCTGAAGATGGCCTCCAGACGTCCAAGGACGCCCCCAAGAGGCCCCAAGAAGCCTCCAACATGCGTCCCAAGAGGGCCCCTAGACGCAAAAATTGGCCCATTCCCTTCGTAAAACGTACATTTTCAACAAAGTTGTCTTTTGGGCTTTCCGACGTTACAGGACGGCCCAAGAGGCGCCCAAGACCGCCCCAAGACGGCCCAAGAAGCTTCCAAGAGGGCCCCAGGACAGCCCAAGAGGGCCCCAAGACGGCCCAAGAGGCGCCCAAGATGGCCCAAGAGGGCCCCAAGACGGGCCCAAGAGGGGGCCCAGAGGGGGACCACGAACCGCAAGCTCGAGCCTTCCGCCCCAAGAGGCCGCCAGGAGGCCCCCAGGAGGCCCCTCAAGAGGCCCCAGGAGACCCCAGACGTCCAAGGACGCCCCCAAGAGGCCCCAAGAAGCCTCCAACATGCGTCCCAAGAGGGCCCCTAGACGCAAGAATTGGCCCATTCCCTTCGTAAAACGTACATTTTCAACAAAGTCGCCTTTTGGGCTTTCCGACGTTACAGGACGGCCCAAGAGGCGCCCAAGACCGCCCCAAGACGGCCCAAGAAGTTTCCCAGAGGGCCCCAGGACAGCCCAAGAGGGCCCCAAGACGGCCCAAGAGGCGCCCAAGATGGCCCAAGAGGGCCCCAAGACGGGCCCAAGAGGGGGCCCAGAGGGGGACCACGAACCGCAAGCTCGAGCCTTCCGCCCCAAGAGGCCGCCAGGAGGCCCCCAGGAGGCCCCTCAAGAGGCCCCAGGAGACCCCAGACGTCCAAGGACGCCCCCAAGAGGCCCCAAGAAGCCTCCAACATGCGTCCCAAGAGGGCCCCTAGACGCAAAAATTGGCCCATTCCCTTCGTAAAACGTACATGTTCAACAAAGTTGTCTTTTGGGCTTTCCGACGTTACAGGACGGCCCAAGAGGCGCCCAAGACCGCCCCAAGACGGCCCAAGAAGCTTCCAAGAGGGCCCCAGGACAGCCCAAGAGGGCCCCAAGACGGCCCAAGAGGCGCCCAAGATGGCCCAAGAGGGCCCCAAGACGGGCCCAAGAGGGGGCCCAGAGGGGGACCACGAACCGCAAGCTCGAGCCTTCCGCCCCAAGAGGCCGCCAGGAGGCCCCCAGGAGGCCCCTCAAGAGGCCCCAGGAGACCCCAGACGTCCAAGGACGCCCCCACGACGCTTCGCGTCACCAATTTCTTCTCACAACGATTCCTGGGTCTGTGACTCGACAGAACCTAAGCGCGCGCGAAGCGCGCGCGTGGTTCTAGTTTATATTTCTCGTCGAAAATCGGCCTGTAGGGGGACATGCCCGACCCAAAACCTAAGATGTTCCAACCGACTTTGCCTTTGACCACCAGAAAGAATTTCGAGCACCAGAAAAAAGTACCGGAACTCGAGGGTTTTCACGTGTCTGGCCTTGGGAGACACTCGCCCGCCATTGTGTCGACACTCTTTCGACACCTTTCCGGGTGCTCCGAATTATTTTTGCGAGGGGGTCCTTCAGTACGATGGGAGCAACATGCGGTGGAGGCGTTCGTCAAGGAATTGTCCCAGGAGGCGCCAGACTCTGGAGGATTTCTTATCCAATGCGGGCGGCGATTCTATCCATGGCCGATCCACCATTGGCTTTGCACTGGCTTCCAGACCTTGGATTCCTTATCCAAGGTTTCCTTATCCAAAGTCTCCGCCGTAACCTAAAACAAGCATCAGGTCGTCAGAGTTTCTGGCGACCCCCTGCACATGCCCCCCTCGTGCCGCCATGTGTCCGCAACGCCCCGGCAGGACCACTGACGACCGGTGCCCCGGCGTCGACCTCTCCCGCGCGGGCTCTGGCGGAAAAAGGCGCACCGCCAGACGGGGTTAGGCCGCTCCGGTCCCTGCAGAGGGACAGGCCCGACTTGAACCAAAAGGGGGGGTGACCCTGAGGGGGGGCATGAGCTCGATCCGCTGGTGCACCGAACTGCCGCAAACAGACACCCCCCGCATCCCCACTTTTCGGCAACTATTTCGGGAGCTGCCGGCTGGGCGGCTGGGGGGCACCTGCGTTGGGCGGCTCGGTGCAAAAAACTTACCGAAATCACACACACACACGCACACACACACACACACACCCTGGGCCCGCCCCACCCCCTTGCGGGATCCCGAACCCAGACCCCCAACGTCGTGATTTTTGTCACAGCGTCGACCCCCAGAGGTCTGGGCCCCTTCCCCCGGACCGGTTCTTCGTCCCGAGTCGTTTATTGGCAGTCCCGAGGCTTGGTAGTAGGGGAACAAAAGTGACATAAACATGAAAACTCGGAGGTCCGCGCGGATTTCTCGGATCGGCGCTGGGGCCCCCCGGCGGCGCCTCCGGCGCCGCCCCTGGCGCGCTCCGCGCGCCAGGGAGGAGGGTCCAGCGCCGATCCGAGAAATCTGCGCGGACCTCGGAGTTTTTATGTTTGTGTCACTTTTTGTTCCCCTAGGTAGGGGCCCCCAGAGTCCGAAGATATAGCGAAGAACCTCCCGTCGTGTTTTTTTTCA